GTATATTTAATCGACACAAGACATTTGCGACGTGGAAAATAAGTAAAATGTCGCCGGCATCACGGCAAACGAGTGGCGATAACAGCGATGCCACTTTGCGCGACGGAAATTGGCATTTTCCTCGTGCTTTTCGGTAGAACCAATATTTATATACGTTTTAATGTCAATGCCGGTCATTAGCCAAAACCAACATTCGGATCGACTTGGCTGTATGGAGGATTCTAAGATCGGGCCGGTTGGGTATATGAACACGGATCCGTCTGTCTCTACTTATGCTTATCTATGTGGCTGTGCGTACCAGATAACGCAGATTCGTAATTAGTGCCGTGCACGTGAACGCCGCGTAAGGATACCTCACTCTCAACTTCATTCGCGGGATTAGATTACTATAGCTAACTGCAGCTTCGAACAAACACGATGGAACTATTCCCACGCGAATTCCATTATTTAGAATCGTTCTTCAAACCGAGCGAAATGCGCGACATATACCTAGCAAATTTAATTACGTAATTTCATTCATAACGCTTCGATATTAAAGACGAATTCGACTGATTGCACGAGCACAAAATTTCGTAATTTCAACTAAAAAAATATTTCGTCAAATAGCAAAGAAGCCAATTTCCCTTTTCTCTCCTTATCTCTCGCAGTTTTTATGCTTTTATTATTCTGATTTTTCTAAATTCTTTTAAATTCTATGACGGAACTCTTTTGCTCAATCTTTACCTATTTACTATAAGTAAATAGAACATTATATATAATTTATATATAAAACAATTATCCAAAATGCAAATGCAATAGTCTCGAATGTGAGAAATCTTGAAAGACAGATTGAAGACTATTTACGATAGCTGTTTGTGACATTTCAAAGAGATAACAAATGAAAAGTTGAGTTTTGATAAATCAAAAAAGTAATTTCGCAAAAATTTAATGTATTACTCGCACAAATTGGTGATTATTCATGCAGAATAAAATGTTTAATTATTTGGTAAATTAAAAAGAAAAAAAAAAAGGCATCTCGAAAGTGTGTGCGTGCGTGTATTTGTGTCATCCATAAGGAATTGCCAAACTATTAAAAATAAACCTATATATCTCAATAGTTTATGAATTTCTACGAAATAAAGAAGTCCGGCTTCGTACATACACTAGATAATAAAATTTCATTCAATTTCATTCTTTCGTTTGATATTTCTTATGAATTCTTCCGTTAGTTCTTAGCACGACTAATTGAATCTTCCTTTCCTATTTATATGTCGCACGTATAATTGCAACTACGATGTAGCTAAATCGATATATGCGAAACCTGAGAAATGTGCTTCGAAGCGTTTACGACTCCAAGTGCTGCTACTTTGAAGTTTAGTATGCAGGTTTGCAATACGTACAAAGTAGCATCGCCACGTAAGGTAAGGTAGAATGTGCGTCCTAAGCGAGATAAAGAATGACTTATCAACCAGCATGGGATGCTTAACTTTTTGAATGTCGCATTTCAAGCCTATGCAGTTCTCTATTGCAAAAGTTTGAAAGCAAATGGAAGTTACTACAGTATACAGCGTCAACTATGGCATTACACGTTTCACTGCTATCACAATACACACTGTCATTCCCAATCAAAGAGTTAAAGCGTCACTTTTTTACTATCTTCGCGGTAAAATGTCACTGTTTTCGCATTGGCCGATCTTAATTAAATCACTACGCTTGCACACAATATCTGCACGTTTTTTATCAAGTTCTCTAAATAAAACGTTAATTTGGAGCTATTGTTAGAAAAAAATTAACAAAAAATGTACGATTGTTTTGTTGAACAATAAGTGAAAATGAGGATGTCTTCTCGCGAATTGTTCTTTGAATATTATAACAGCACAGTGTGCTCCAGATTAATCGTCTTATATTTAGGCATTTATAATACAATGTTACAATCAATTACAATGGCTGTAATGATTGAAAAAATTGATACCGCCAATGTGTAATATATAATTGATCAATTACACTTCATCGGAGATCGTGCAAAATAATGGTACGATAAATCTTGATTACTTACTGAAACTAAATATTATTCATGTGAAAATTATATTTCAGATTAAAAAAGAATATCATTATTGCCGTTGTACTCAACTCTATTGATTATAACATTGATTTTATAACAATCTTTTTAACTTAACCTCTGCCTGGCTGCGGCTGGGAGACAACAACATTCGACTGGCATATTCTCCACATACGATTACGTACGAGCATCGCGACTGATACGTAGAAAACTTAATCAAGTATCGTCCGAGAGCAGATGTTCTCGATATAACATGTTTTAAGCATATTCTAGTCTCCGTGTACTTATCAATCGTCACGCACATTCCAAAAAGATGCGAGGGTGTGGTCGAATACATATGTATGTTCCATTGCCTCTGAATATTGCAGAAAACAATGATCACAAATACCGTATTGATATAATCCTAATGAAAGACGAAACAATTTGTTGCATATACGTGTCACATGTTTACGTGTCTACATATTTGTTTAAAAGATACGAGTGTCCAAAGTATGCAAAAAACGAGTATAATTGATATTTGAGATATAATTCTCAATATTTATAAGTTTCATAATCTTATAAATTATGTCCAAATTATATATTCTAATTCTCATGTAGAGCTTAAATAGCGTAAATACTTTGTTAGTATCAAAATATTATATGTAGTAAGAGGATATATATTGTGTAAACAAATAGAGAAATATTTTATAATTATATCTAATAGCATATACTAGTGCATATACTAGTGGGTGTCCTATTTTTTTATTTATAACATGAAATATTTGAAAATGTTCTTACAAAACAAAAGAAAATTTAAACTGTTGTACGTAAACTGAAGTATCATGAAACAGATAAATACTTTTGTTAGCATAAGCATGCGAAATATATAATAATTTGATTTTACGTATTAAACATATATCCATTACAAGTATCAAAGATAATTTTGAAAAATAATCAAGTTTCCGTTGGCAAAACTTTTTCACCCCATCTTCAAAGACGTCAATCAAAAATATGGAAATGCTGCTGGAATTTTGCACTAGTGTTTACTAATATTTGCAATTAAGGCAATCTCTCTTACCTATCACTACACTATTATTATGTAGGAGAATCATCTAAAAATAATTCTTATTTTGTGAAAAAGGTATCGAGGTCGTGAAAAGGCTAACACAATAAAGTGAAGCTACGATGGCTCATCGCTTTCTTACAAAAAGAGTATGAGCGAGGTACAAAGTTCTGTTGATAAAAAAAGAGACATGAGAATATTCGCGAGAATATCGACGTCGTTGTTCCAAAATACGACTTAGAAAACGTCCAACAGTTCACTCGTGGCTTTTTACACAGAAGGTGTAAATCGGGTACAAACTAACGGAGATGTATGTACCGGACCAATGCATCTGAGTATCGATTTTTTAACGCCTCGTTACTTCTACCGGATCTTTTCGTCCCTGGATGAAACGTATCGTAAAGAACGCGAACAAAACTATAACTGCAGTGGTCAAAAGCCATAGAGAAGAAAATTTTCAGTCAATTCGCTGGAAAATGTTACATATGTATACGATAGGTTTATGAATAAATGAGATGAATAAATCAAATTCAATAGAAAATATATCACTAGAAAATATATTGGTAAAGAATATTTTCAAATATGATATTTATTGCAAGAAATACGATATATGTATTTTTTTAGACAAATATCTATATCTGTTACTTATATGAGTGCATACGATTTTATTATTAATAAAAGATTGACTTCCACAACTACGTACTGCATTTAGCATAGAATTTTTCGGTCGGCGATTCATGTTGATAAAACACAAGCAAAATCGCACCAGCGGCAGAATTAATAACTTTGAGAAATGACGACAAGTAAGACTGCAACCACCTGCCGTCGCTTGTGTTGCGGACGAGGACGAAAGAAAGGCGCTAGTTGCCAAGGGGGATGCCAAAGGGGATGCCAAGGGGGATGCCGAGGTGGAGTCGAGGGAGATGCCAAGAGGAGCAAAAGAGAACGTTGCAAAGACACAAGAGACACGATGAAGAAAGAAGCGAGAAAAGCGGAAACGGACATGGAGAAGGTGAGAGGGAGTGAAAGAGGGGGTGAAAGAGGGCTGAAAGAGGGCGGAAAGAGAGCGCACGAAGCGCAGAGAGTAGGGAGCACGAAGGTAAAAAGCGGTGCGACGACATGGTATCGATTCGCTAACAGATCCGCGCCGTACACACGATATTAATGCCTGGCTGTCGCTTCTCGATGGCGCGAGGCCAACGTGCGTCGCTAGAAGAAAACGGTGGAGAGTAACAGACGCCCTGACACTTTATATATAGAGCTTGAGCGGCCCGTGGCGCTTAAATATAGACGAAATGCAACGGGGTGTCTCTTTCTCACTCTACCCCTCCCCCTCTAACACGCGCGCGCACAGAGAGAAAAAGAACGGAGAAACACGCATCTATTTTGCAGTATATACGCGAGAACGCGACACGTAGGAAAGTAGGAGAAAAGATGAGAAGGAATGAACGAAAGAAAATGAATGCAAATGAAAGGAGGGGAGATGGGGGGGGGGAGGGCAGAAAAGACCCCGCATACGCAAGGAACAGTTATGGCCGACTGCGCAGCGTCGTCTGCTACAAACATAATGAAACACGGCGGTGTGCTAAGTCGTACTTTTACGCGCGATTCACATTTGCTTGTACGAAAATGCGCGGATACGTGCAAGCAACAACGCCATCCGACACGCAAGAAAATACTCTACTCATGGTGTCAGAATAAACGAAGTTTATTGTTTTTACCTATCGCGGATCTGAATAGAAAAAATAAGATTAGGAAAAAGACTAATTAGAAGATGAAAGTACATTAGGAATAAAGTAAGGAATGGTGTGCATTTACAAATACAAGTACGTGAAAGGAGCACGGTGTATACATGCAGAGTATGCGTATCTCGGTCGCTCGCGCATCGTCAATGAATGCAAAAATTTTTTTAGTACTTACTTGCCGAGTTCCTCCTTCAAGTCGTAGTTGTCACTGAACCGCGTGCAAGCCGTTGGCACGGCCATACCGAGGTTATTCACGATTATTTGAATCGCACCACCAAACTCGGAAACGCGAACGCGAGAGAGCCACTGCCGGCCGCCACTATACTGCACACACGCGCTAGGGGAAACTGCAGGTCAAATTCGATCAATAGAGGGGAACCGCCTCGGCGCTGCTCGAACACCGGGACGGCGGCAGCGGCGCCGGACGACGACGGTGACGGCGACGACGGCTACGACTTCGACTACGACTATGACTACGACGACGACAACGACGATGACGATGACAACGGGAACGGCGACGATAACAACGGTGATGACAACGACACAAGATAAGATGGAGGGGCGGATAGGTCGGACCGGGTGGAAGAAAACCGAGGGACAAAAGCGCCTCTATCCACGGCGATCGCGCGCGATACTGTAGCGCCAATGACGAAAGATAGCAAGGACAACGACGTACGGCGTATGAGGCGGAATCCCTCCTCCGCAATCCGTAATTGTCCACGATACCGGTACGTCTCTGCGCGAATACTGTCACGCCGCAATACACTTTCACACTACTCACCGGCAGATCGTCGACTGACTCACGTAGTGATGGCGCCTGTAGTGAGGGGGTAGCCAACATGGCGGCGGCAGATGGAAGGATTCGTATGGCGCGCTTGTTGCAACTTG